TGCTGGTCCCCACCATCCCTCACCTCCCCACCTCATGTTTTTTTTTTTTCTTTTTAAGCTGCCAAGGCTGGCATTGAAACCAGGTAACAGGGCCAGCCCTACCTCTGGTTTCTCAATAGGGTTTTTAAAGATAATGTAGGGGAAAAACATTACATTAATACATTAACAATTTCCCAGAATTGCTTAATCTTAGCATAAAAGTTGAAATACTTATTATAGTCTACAAGGCACAACATGATCTAGTTCACAACAATATCTCTCCAAACTCATCCCTTTCTCTTGTCATCTTGTTGGGACCAGCAGATTGTGTAATGGTTATGTCACTGGACTCCCATGTAGTTGATTGCTGTTCGAGTCCCAAACTGAGTGGCTTCAAACATGCTGGACCCCTGTACATCTGTGCCCAAGATTCCAAGAGGAGAATGGAGAAGGGATTGCAGCATGGGTCCCCCCAGGGGGATGATTTCTCATTTTCTACCCCTCTGTCTCTCTATCTCTCTCTTGCAAGCACATGTGCCCTATAGCAAATTTCTGTCTCTCTAAATATACATTTTAATGTAACTTTTTCCATTTTTTCTGAAAACACTTGTAATATTCTGTTTATTTACTTATTGTTCTCTCATTCTAGAATAAAAGTTGCTTGAAGGCAGACTTTGTTTTATTCATAACTACATCCCCAGTACCTACAATAACACCAGTTAGATAGTCATTGCTAAATAAACATTTGTTAAATGCATGAATATGAACCAACACTTTTTTTTCATAAAGGTTTTTAGGATTCTGTGGGCATATGATGTATGATTGCTTTAACCGTATTGCTAGTAAAGTTCACTTAGATTTGTACTTAGGCAAAGGACCTAATTATTTTTACACATTGTGCATTTTTATTTTGACAACCATATCTTATTGGTAAATAGTACAATACTTTATAAAGAAGAGGATCAGGAATCCACAGATGGCATAATGGTTATGTTGCTAGATTCTCACATGGCTCTCTCCATGGTTCAAGTCCTGGACCTGGCAGCTTGAAACTCACGCCACGTGTGTGTGTTTGTGTGCCCTAGATCCTGAGAGAAGACTGGAGGAGAAGGGACTGCAGCATAGCCATCCCCCTTGGGGGTGATTTCTCACTTTCTGTCTCTCCAGCAAGCACACATGCCCTATAGCAAAAATCTCTCTGAAACAGAAAGAAGTGGCTCAAATAAATAACCATTTGTAGGTCAATTAATTCTGGCTGCTAGAAGAAAGATTTTCCCTATGATTGAAAAGTACACCTAAGGCCACTGCTAACACTGGTATAGTGGTAACACAACTGGACTAACATGAGAAAGTCCTGGGTTCATGTCTTAGGATCTCCCTGGGCATTCCAGGTATGTGCAGGTGTGCCCATGATCCTGGGACTAGATTGAAATGTGTTCTCTCTTTCATGAAAGAAATAAACTTTTTAAAAAAAGATTAGGGTACTGGGACCAGCAGTTAGTGTAATGGCTATGTTGTTGGACTCCCATGTAGTTGACCGCAGTTAGAGCCCCGGACCTGGTGGCTTAAACTCACGACAGGTGTGTGTGTGTGTGTGCCCAAGATCCCGAGAGGAGAATGGAGAAGAAGGGATTGCAGCATGGCCATCCCCTCTGGGGGGTGATTTCTCGCTTTCTGTTTCTCTGTCTGTCTCTGTCTTTCTGGCAAGTGCACGGGCCCTATAGCAAAAAAAAAAAAAAAAAAAAAAAGAAAAAGAAAAAAACTCTCCAAAAAAGAAAAAAAGAACCCTATCATATGTAGAGTACTACATATGATAATAATAATAAATAGGAATATCAGCAATATACAACAGCAACATACATAAATTTTAATAGCTCTTTTCTAAATATTCTATTAAGAATTTTTTTGAAATGTAAATATGTTGTTTTGTTAATTTATTATATTATTTTTCTATAATTAATCTATATGGCACAGACCAAAATATATTTCAATGTAGTGATAATTTCTTAATATTTGTCCCTAAATCAATATCAAATATTACTGAAACTTTAATAAAACCTCTATATTTAGACACTGGTAGCATAAGTAAGGATATTTTTATTGATTTGATGGTAGTAACACTTCTTTTAATACCAGATTACTCTTAACATTTGATAGTTGAATCAATGTAGTTAATAATATATAGGGGACACTTTGAGTATTATTAAATATGCTTTTAATTTGAGCTTCAAAAATAATAATTTTTTTTCTGGAAAACAAGAAAGTGTATCTTATTTCTTATCATTTCTTCCAAAGACAAAGCTCCTGAAATTACAGAACTTGAGAATGCTGGATTCTGTAATATCCGAAAATATAATTGTATGATGGTAAGAGTTTTTGGTCAAGGCTTCAAAGAATCACCTTCAATGAAATGTGAAGTTACTAAATTTCAGGTATGTCAATTATAAAGTTCAAAAACAATTTTGTTTATGAGTTTCTCTGATTGATTTTTATCTTGGATTAGGTTGGTCTGAAAATTAGCAACTTAATCCTAGAGAATGTTATAGCCCGAGAGAGTTGGACAAGAAAATGATTAAGTTGCTTAACCTTAAAGCTTCTGCATTTTTTAACTTTATTGAAGTATTTTATATATAATTTTTATTGACACATTGGCTCACTATTTCCAGTCATAATAATAAACTAAAAGCATGTCATGTTTTAAATATATATATGTATATATATTTATTTATATATATACATATATATGTAAGCATGTGTATTTTCTTGAAATGTAAAATTACAAATAATAGAGGTTACTTTTAGTCAAGATAGAGTGCATCAACTTTAACTTATAGCAATGTGAATATTTCCCTATACAACCCAAAAATCAAGGACTAATTATGTTCATCTTTTATCTTTTTTATTATGAACTTCAGACCAAAACATATTCTCATAAATAATATTTTAAGATATTTCTTCAAGTATTTTTTAAGAGGGGACCAGCAGGTGGCATGGTGGTTAAGGCACACTCCCACATGGCTGACCTCAGTTCGAGTCCCAGACCTGGTGGCTTGCTTTCTCACTTTCTCTCTCTCTTTCTCTCTGGTCAAATTAAAAAAGTAAATGAATGAATAAATAAAATTAAATAATTCTTTTAAAAAATCTTTTTTTTTTTGGGAGAGATTTTCACTGTAGGGCGCGTGCGCTCGCCAGACAGACAGAGAGAGACATAGAGACAGAAAGCGAGAAATCACCCCCCAGGGGGGATGGTCACGCCACAATCCCTTCTCCATTCTCCTCTTGGGATCTTGGGCACGCACGCACACGCGCCCGGCGTGAGTTTTAAGCCACCGGGTCCGGGACACGAACCGCAGTCGACTACGTGGGAGTCCAGCGACATAGCCATTACGCTAACTGCTGGTTCCCTTAAAAAATCTTTTTAAAAAGATATTTTCTTTTTTAAAACCACAAAAGCAGACATGATCATTGAGTTTGAACATTAGTATATAAGATTATACCTTATGGTTATTTATGCATTCTTCCTTTCTCTCCTTCAAGTGGAAATTTTTTTTAAAGATAGTACTTCAAATTTAGAAAGTATTTATATAGGTCAGCTAAAAACTTAAAAATAGTAAATAATTTATTTAAAAATTGAAGCTAAATGTGATTCTAAGATTGAGAATTTATATGAGGAAATAACTTTTTAATGTGTTCTTATCAAGTAGTTTTGTACAAGTATACTTATTTCAGGATTTTATGGGTAGAGCCTTTTTAAAGAAGTCACGAAATATTTAAATCCTAATGAAATAATGACACACAATAAAAGGATATATGTATAACTTTGATATCACTCCAGAGAGGAGCTAGTATATTAATCTTGGCAGAATAAATCATGTGATATCATAGAACAATTAAGTAATTTTCCAGGAGAGAATTTTACAGATTTATATCCTCTTGGAAAGTACATCTTATACTTACTTTCACATGTATTATTTGTTGTGATTACCTCCCTCTTCCAAACATCTAATAAAGAATAAAATTTGAAATTCCCTAACACTCTCTACAGAACTATAGAAAGATGTCTACTTGCCAAAACCAAAATGATAATGCATATCCAATATTTATTTAATATGATGCTAAGGTTAAATCAGTCTCTCTCTCTCAGCCCCAGTTTTACCTATTGCTAAGGTTTAAATATTTCTTAACTTTTGATTCACGCCTTGAGTCAAGCTTATCTAATTTGGCACTATTTTAGGATTCCTTAATTCTCTAACATGAAGACTGCTCAAAGTCTTATATTTAGTCTGTATGGAATGTACTTGCTTTCCCATTAAGTCAATATCTCCTCTTAGCTTCTTTGTTAGGTATTTGATCAATATGAGTGTATTTCTGCTCACTCTTCAGTTCGAAGTCCAGTTCCCTTTGAAGAATGTGTCCTCCTTAAAAATGTAGCTTTTTTTAAACATTAAATAATTGAAAACCCTTCATGATTTCCTATTGTAGGAAGAAACTTTTACTTTGGAGTAATTTGAGGTTGCAGAAAGTTTTAAAAGTAATACAAATTTCTCAGTAATCCTTCACCCAGTTCTTGTTAATGTTAACATTTTACATATCTATAAAACAATAAATGTTAACATTTTACATATCCATAAAACAATAACTGAATTGCTGATTTACATGACTAAATCCACATTGTTATCTTAGAATGGAGGGCCCTTCATGATTCAGTTATTGTCTATTTTTGTAGCCTTGAACCTCGTGTTTATGCTTTCCTAAAATTTAATGCTGTTTTGTACATTCTTGTCTTTTCTTATGCTATTCTTTCCAGCTATGCTGAAACTCATTCTTTCCTTATCCGCTACCATTGCCCAAAAGGCAGTCTTTTTTTCACTTTCAGGAAGAGAAGTATCATCTCCTTTTTTTTTTTTTAAACAAAAGAGTTTTTTGCCTTAGGGTGCATGTGTGCACCAGAGAGAGAGAGAGAGACAGACAGAGACAGTGAGAGGGAAAGTTTGAAATCCCGCCCCCACCCCCACCCCCCTGGGGGGATGGCCATGTCACAATCCCTTCCTCTCCTGGGATCTTGGGCATGTACGCACACACACTTGGAAAAATTTTCAGATCACTGGGTTGAGGACTTGAACTGTGGTTGGCTATGTGGGAGTCCAGCAACATAACTGCCAACATCTGCTGGCCTCATCATCTCCTCTTTTTAAGCCTTCCTTAACTGTGTTACTTAGACTTTCTTTCTTATTGCACCTTATTCAAATCTCAATTATTGCAGTAATACAATTATATTTTGTTCTTTTCCTCAGTGATCTCTTTTATTGGAATACTCTTAGTGCATAATAGATACTCACAAAATACTAATGAATAGAAAAGAAATAGAACCCTCTTTATTCCTCATTTTGGGTATTTCCCTTCAAACAAAAGGGCAGAACTAATTCCTACTCATTGGCTAAAGTCTTGTTTCTACACACAGAAATGAGAGATCCTATATTCATTTAAGTATCATAGCCACCCAAAGATGTTGTTGTCATTGTTCCTCTGCTAGAGAGAGACCATTGATAGATCTATTAGGTCAGACAGTACACACACCCCTAAATATGGAGACATGTACCATGGTTCACTCTTTTAATCACCATCTTCAACAATATAGTCTCTACTGATCACAGACTACAGGGGCCCTTGCCTTCCTTTCCCTTTCATGCTGACTTCAGTACTGAAACATCAGCATGCTCTGTGACAAAATCTGAGTGGTTGATAACATTCTGAGGACTAAATTTAAAAAAAATTAAATCTAAATTTTGGCAACAAAATATACCCTTTTAGTTTTCTATGTAGTTACTAGCACTTTGAAAATTATTCTGGTTTTTCCTCATTAGACATGATGCATTTCAATACTGAAAAACAAAATCTAAAAGGTGCCTTAAGTACAATATGCCACTCAATTTTCATAGAGGACAAATTGGATAAAATTTATTTTAAGTTTCAAATGACATAGACTAGCTTGATTAAGAATATTTTTTAGCAGCAGCTGCAGCAGCATGGCCCGGAGAAGGTGCTGCTCCAGCATTTGGAGTAGAAGTAGCTGCCGCATGCGGAGTTGTTTAGTGGTACAATCATGTTTGAAATTAAGAAGATCTGTTGTATTGGTTCGGGCTATGTTGGAGGACCCATGTGTAGAGTCATTGCCCACATGTGTCCTGAAATCAAGGTAATTGTGGTGGATGTCAATGAATCAAGAATGAATGCATGGGGGACCAGCAGTTAGCGTAATGGCTATGTCGCTGGACTCCTACGTAGTCGACCGCCGTTCGAGTCCCGGACCCAACGGCGGGCGCATGGGCGTGAGTGCCCAAGATCCCGAGAGGAGAATGGAGGAGAAGGGATTGTGGCATGGCCATTCCCCCTGGGGAGTGATTTCTCATTTTCTGTCTCTCTGTCTGTCTGGCGAGCGCGCGCGCCCTATAGCAAAAACCTCTCCAAAAAAAGAAAAAGGAAAAAAAATAAAAAGAATGAATGCATGGAATTCTCCTACGCTTCCGATTTATGAGCCAGGGCCTAAAAAAAGTGGCAGAATCCTGTTGAGGAAGAAATCTGTTGTTTTCTACTAATATTTATGATGTCATCAAAGAAACTGATCTTGTATTTATTTCTGTGAACACTCCAACAAAAACCTATGGAATGGGGAAAGGCCAGGCAACAGATCTGAAGTATATTGAAGATTGTGCGAGACTCAAATGGATATAAAATTGTGACTGAGAAAAGCACAGTTCTAGTGTGAGCAGCAGAAAGTATTCATCACATATTTGATGCAAACAAAAAACTCAACTTGAATTTATAGGTACTGTCCAACCCTGAGGGAACAACCTTGGCAGAGGGAACAGCCACCAAGGACCTTAAGAACCCAGACAGAGTACTGATAGGAGGAGATGAAACCCCAGAAGCCCAAAGAGCTGTGCAGGCACTGTGTGCTGTGTCTGAGCACTGGGTTCCCAGAGAAAAGATCCTACCCATGAATTCTTGGTCTTCAGAGTTTTCCAAACTGGCAGCCAATGCTTTTCTTGCCCAGGGAATTAGCAGCATCAACTCCCTAAGTGCCCTGTGCGAAGCAACAGGAGCTGATTTAGGTAGCAACAGCCATTGGAATGGACCAAAGAATTGGAAATAAGTTTCTAAAAGCCAGTGTTGGTTTTGGTGGGAATTGCTTCCAAAAAGATGTTTCAAATTTGGTTTATCTCTGTGAGACTCTGAATTTGCCAGAAATAGCTCATTACTGGCAGCAGGTCATAGACATGAATGACTACCAGATGGAAAGGTTTGCTTCCTACATCAGAGACTGTTTAATACAGTCACAGATAAGAAGATTGCTATCTTGAGGTTTGCATTCAAGAAGGACACCAGTGATACAAGAGAATCCTCCAGTATATATATTAACAAATATCTGATG